TCAGGATCAGGATCAGGATCAGGATCAGGATCAGGATCAGGATCAGGATCAGGATCAGGATCAGGATCAGGATCAGGATCAGGATCAGGATCAGGATCAGGATCAGGATCAGGATCAGGATCAGGATCAGGATCAGGATCAGGATCAGGATCAGGATCAGGATCAGGATCAGGATCAGGATCAGGATCAGGATCAGGATCAGGATCAGGATCAGGATCAGGATCAGGATCAGGATCAGGATCAGGATCAGGATCAGGATCAGGATCAGGATCAGGATCAGGATCAGGATCAGGATCAGGATCAGGATCAGGATCAGGATCAGGATCAGGATCAGGATCAGGATCAGGATCAGGATCAGGATCAGGATCAGGATCAGGATCAGGATCAGGATCAGGATCAGGATCAGGATCAGGATCAGGATCAGGATCAGGATCAGGATCAGGATCAGGATCAGGATCAGGATCAGGATCAGGATCAGGATCAGGATCAGGATCAGGATCAGGATCAGGATCAGGATCAGGATCAGGATCAGGATCAGGATCAGGATCAGGATCAGGATCAGGATCAGGATCAGGATCAGGATCAGGATCAGGATCAGGATCAGGATCAGGATCAGGATCAGGATCAGGATCAGGATCAGGATCAGGATCAGGATCAGGATCAGGATCAGGATCAGGATCAGGATCAGGATCAGGATCAGGATCAGGATCAGGATCAGGATCAGGATCAGGATCAGGATCAGGATCAGGATCAGGATCAGGATCAGGATCAGGATCAGGATCAGGATCAGGATCAGGATCAGGATCAGGATCAGGATCAGGATCAGGATCAGGATCAGGATCAGGATCAGGATCAGGATCAGGATCAGGATCAGGATCAGGATCAGGATCAGGATCAGGATCAGGATGAGCGAGGGCCGGATGAACGAGGGCCTGATGAGCGAGGGCCGAATGAGCGAAGGCCGGATGAGCGAGGGCCGGATGAACGAGGGCCGGATGAGCCTTTCGGGAGTCACATGTAAGTATTGTAGTAAAAGTCAAAGATCATATCCAAGAACTTTATCGAAAAAAATACATGACAGTGAGACGGGTGATAAGGCTTGCCGTGAAGAGTGGCTTAATATCCGCATCAATAGACGAAGTAAGCAACAGAAGTATATCGGAGAGATGGGACTCGAACAGCATCACGCAACGGCAGGGCTTCCGAATGGCAGGAAGATTGCAATAGGGTGTGCGCGTAGGGTTTCCCGCCTTGGTATTCATGGTTTCAATACTGTTTATTTCTCCTGTCCATTCCGAAGTATTTTGAAAACTTTTTACTAAGCCATGATTTTTTTTACACATTGATACTAAGCTATGATTGTTTTTTCTTCTTTTCATTACTCCTAAGCTAAGATTTTATTTCTTTACTCTGCACAGCTTTTAAATTGACACTTTTTACTCGTCAGTTCACGAAGGGCGCTGTCCAGAGGTGCGCCCCGAGTGCCCGCCGACGCGCAGTGGGCCGCCCAAACCGTGCAGCAACGACGGGTCCTGCTCGCTCTCCGAGAAATGCTGCTTCGACAAATGCCTCGATCAGCATGTCTGTAAACAAGCTTTAACTTGGTAGTTTTTACAGAATTTTTCATACTTTACGGATTCAGGGGAGAAAAGGAATTAAACACACTTTTTCACACACACACACACACACACACACACACACACACACACACACACACACACACACACACACACACACACACACACATGTATATATATATATAGTAGAAAAACCCACAATGTGTTTTTTTCTACCATAGTATCAACACGGTAGAGTGTTTTCTTGATTCATATATATATATATATATATATATATATATATATATATATATATATATATATATATATATATATATATATATATGCATACACACACACACACACACATACATACACACGTGTGTGTGTGTGTCAACTGCTACAATCCTCTCAAAGAATTTGAAAGGAAATGAAACGTTTTACCATGACTGCGAGCACTACTCTGCAGTTCAAGATATCAGAAGGCATCATGAGCCAGATGAATATATTACTCATGATGTGGTTTACTGTGTCACTGTGTTTCAGTGTCATTGGCATATACTGCTATTTCTAGGTATTTCCTTGTGATTTGCATATTGTACCTTGCTTACTATGTTTAAATACCTAAATAGAAGACAAACTTTAATATGATGTTTACCGCAAATTAAAAAATCCTTGTATTCAGTATGTTCTTTACGCCAAAGTCTTCTGGTCTATTTCAAATATTTATTTAGAATTTCGGAACCGAATTTCTTTTTTTTACTTGACATCCCAGTTTTACTTTGTCATCTGATGAACATAGCAACTCTTCGTGGAGAGAAATGCAGACTCATCTGAATCAGTGCTTAGATCTTTGTTTTTTTTTATATTAATTTCTGAGGCTTTTAGTTCACCTTCTTTTCTTAATCGTATATTTACATGTGCTGATTATCAGTGGGCTTATT